TGAACGTTCTTTGTCTTTCAAGTCAAAATCACCACTTTTGAATCGATGAAACCATTCTCTGCAGCTTCGTTCCGATGGAGCTTGCTCGCCATAAGTATCTGACAGCATTCGATGAGCTTCAGCGGCAGTTTTCTTCGAATCAAATAAGAAAAGAAGGGCCCCTCGAAAAAAACACCTTATCACGATCCATTTTCAATCGATTCAAAAACAATGACGCAGAACGAAAAATGAATCTTTCTGCTCTGAGTTAGATTGCTAAATGTCACATCTACAAAATGCAATTGGATTCACTTGTCAAGCTACGCTCAGTTACAAGTGGCGACATTTAAATGTCAGCGGCGGAAACTTTCGAATTGACCCAATATATACACCCAATTTTTGACGTAGAATCGATTTGTACTTTCATTTTACACATGTTTTTATGGTTTTAGTGTCGAAAAATACGATTGATCCAAAACAAATGAGCGAATGACGCCCATGAGCTTCGGTTCCATGGCTAAATCACCCCATGGAGCCAACATTTCTACCTTTGCCACTTTCGAACTGCTAGTATGATCCTTCACGAACATTTTGAATACCGACATGGCCAAGTCGAGTGATGTTTTCGCATATTTCTTGCCTCATATTCTGTTGGTTCGACTTCAACTCTCAAAAAATCGACTTTTCGTCGAAAAATCCTCAAATGGTAGTTTTATGAAGAAATGTCGATTTTAGAGCAAATTTGTAGGAAAACCGATGTTCAAGTGTTCAGGGACTCATATTTTTTCGACGAGAAAATGGTAGTTGTCGAAGACAAAAATGTCGTAAGGGGCCATTTTCGACCATTTTTCTAACACCACTGACAAAGAATTTGAAAAAAAAAATTTCTCCACTGAATCCACCAACTTATCAAAATGAAATATAAGGTTTATCTGGGCTCGCCAGCAACTAAAATCTGACCTTCATGTGTTGAACCGTACATTTTTTCGTTACTACAGTGTAATAATGCTTTTTAGACCAAATTGTTATACCAATCGAGAAAGACTATTACAACTATTTATTGTATAAAATTACCATATATTGTACAAACACAAAGAAAGATCAGGTTTTTCACGACTCTTGGAGTCGTTTTCCTGCAAACCAAAATATTCAGCCAGTTTTTGGCGGTGTGAAATAAATAAATAAATAAATAATAACATATTATGAAGATGGATTTATTAACTCAATTAATAACATATTATTAAGATACAATCCTAATAACGCTTTTTTCGCGCATTTTTTTCGCCGGAGCACTGACAAGTTGTTTTTTCACTGCGGAGTACACACATGAATTTTTGCACTGTTGCAATGAAATTAAAATGACTCTTTGAAACGGAATTATCATGTATTGAACTTAACCATTAAGTTTAGGAAATCGCCAGTACCGACCTTGAAAGGATCAATTTACTATATTTTGTCTGCATTGTTATAGGTGTGTAAACTGTACAGTGCTTTTTTTCTCTCCAGCTAGGGAAAAGAATGCACGAAAAAAGCGTTATTAACACTATGACGGTTCTTCTGACATTTCACATATTCCTGTTCTTTGGGGACCCCAGGGCCCCATATGTACTTCATATGAAATCTGGACTGTGATAAGAGATAACAAAATAGTGTCCGAGGTAAAGTTGTAATACTCGAGGTTTGCTATAATTTTGCTGCAACAAATATTTTCCCACCTTATTTTTAGTGAAGCTGATAAGAAGTAAGAGACTTGCTTCTTCGGCAGAAATGTAGAGCAGGTCGAATACTACAACTTTGCCACAGACACGAAGTCGTTATCTCTTATCAGTTACGCGAAAAAATGATAAGAAAAAAATTCGCGTTTTTCACGGTTTTCTGCGGTTTCTCGCGTATTCCGCGAAACTTATAAGAGATAACAAGATGGTGTCTGTATCAAAGTTGTAAAGCAGCTTAAGTACTACAACTTCGCTACAGAACCCAAGTCGTTATCTCTTATCAGTTACGCGAAAAGCCGCGAAAACCGTGAAAAACGCGAATTCTTTCTTATCATTTTTTCGCGTAACTGATAAGAGATAACGACTTGGTGTCTGTAGTGAAGTTGTAGTACTTGACCAGAACCACAACTTTGCCATAGACACCATTTCGCTATCTCTTATCAGTTTTGCGGAATAGGCGAGAAACCGCAGAAAACCGTGAAAAACGCGATTTTTTTCTTATCATTTTTCGCGTAACTGATAAGAGATAACGACTTGGTGTCGTAGTAAAGTTTTAGTACTTGACCAGAACCACAACTTTGCCATAGATACTATTTCGCTATCTCTTATCAGTTTTGCGGAATATGCGAGAAACCGCAGAAAACCGTGAAAAACGCGATTTTTTTCTTATCATTTTTTCGCGTAACTGATAAGAGATAACGACTTGGTGTCTACGGCGAAATTGTAGTACATAAACTAGTCTACAACACTGCTACAGACACCAAGTCGATATCTCTTATCATAGTCCAGTTATAATATAAAATAGCCATGGGGCCCTGTGGTCCCCAAAGAACAACCGCGTAACATGTTTTGCGGCAGGCTGTATTTTACACATACTCACACATATGCATATGTTTTTTTTTCATTCGTGTTGAGAAATGTTCAATCTATACAATGAGACTTAACTCCGGTTGGTTTATACACTGTTTAGTACTTTTATTCAACTTTAAAGTTCGCTTGGGGCCCTGGATTCCCCAAGAACCATCATAGTGTTAAGATTGCATCTTAACAATATGTTATTAATTGAATTAATAAAATCCAAACCTAATAATATGTTATTAATTGAGTTAATAAATCCATCTTAATAATATGTTATTATTATAGTTAATAAAATGTTATTACCGCCGAATCTTAGGATTTATTAAGATAACACCCGATATAACGCATAACATATTATGTTATTATTATGCTGAATCTTAATAACGTTATTAAGATAAAAAAATCCCAACATAACATAATAATAAATATGTCGGGCTACAGCTGTCACTTTATTAACATATTAATAATTTATTAATTTTTTAATAAAATGAATTTTTTATTAACGTTAATAAAATATAGTGCATTTTATTAACATATTAATAATTATTAGTATGGTGAATTTTCGGTTATTAATATGGTGTAGATTTTATTAAAATGTTAATAAAATGTGATTATTAATATGTACCACCTTCCAAATTACAATTGACCGCTCGGAATAATTCCGCATTATTTTTGCGGATTGTGTTCCAGAATACCGCCACTGGAAATATTTGACATGTTTTTTGTATGAAACTTTTCTTCGCAATTTTTTTGAAAAGTTTCATGCAAAAAAAATGTCGAATATTTCCAGACTCGTTTTTCTTTGAGATTTTGTCGTGATAAATGATTGTCTTAATCTAAACGCTGTGTTGAATAGACTTTGATGTGAACATGATGTCGTCCGTTGATAAAATCGGATAAAATCCAATATGTTGTCGAATTTATTAGAATTCTAATAAAATCGGCACCATATTAATAACCACATTTTATTAAAATTCTAATAAAAAATTGTCGATTTTATTAAAATTCTAATAAAATATCGTTATTAATATGTTGACAACATATTAATAACCACATTTTATTAACATTTTAATAAAATCTACACCACATTAATAACCGAAAATTCACCATACTAATAATTATTAATATGTTAATAAAATGCACTATATTTATTAACGTTAATAAATATGGTGTTTCAAAATTTTTATTAATCATTAAAATATGTTGTTTATTAACATATTAATAAAATACCGATTTTTGACAGCTGTATGTCGGGCAATAACATATTAATAACATATCGAAAATGTAAATCTGTATCGGTGCTCTTCTTCCAATTGACATATTGCCAAAATCTCGATGCGTCATACTTGAGCGAGGATTTCATTTTGTCCACGTAAGCGTTGTATAGTTTCGTGTTGAGTTTGTCAAATTCGCGAGACGCCAAAATGTATTTCCATTCATAGTACGGTTTAAAGCCAGACCGTCTGAAGCGTTTCCATGCCTTATTTTTCCTATTTTTCAATGTTTTTAATGAGTTATTTTTATTTGAAAGAAATAAACAATAAATAAGAAATAGATATGCGTCGTCTTATGCCAAATTGTGTCGCATTTTTCATTTAAATACGTGGTTTATTCAGAGTGTTGGAAACAATTGATTGAAAAGCACAATGTAGAATGTGAACAGATTTAAAAAAACAACAAAAGAAAAATGGCATCTGAAAATAAAAAAGTTTTGTGCCCTTGCTGTGGCAAAGTTGTGGTAGAATCGAAAGAGTTTAGGATGGCCACTTTGATACCTTACTAGCTTTTAGAATTAGCAAGTTCATTTTGTATTTGGCTGTGAAGATGAACGAATTGGACGACAAATGTCCATATGTTACGAGAATAAAAGGTGATTAATTAATGCAGTAAATTTTTTTGTTTTCGTTGTAGACACAACACAATATATTTAAAAAAAGATTGTCGTATTTGTTTTTAATTGTTAGCTATGGACCGATGCAGATAAGATGTATAAAATGAAATTACGGAAATAGTGTTTACGGAATAGATTTTTTCGGATAAATAATGTCAGGAATCAGCGAAATTATCAATAAAATATTTTATTTCGAAATTACATAAGGAAACCAACTATTTTATATATAATTTCGCTATAAAAAGAAGTTATTTATACGAAATAATCCATTAAATGTTTTATTTCCTTTTTTTAAGAAACAATTTATTCTTCATACAAATATTTTGAGAATAAATTATTTCGGAATAATTTATTTCGTGGAGCCGGAACGGTGTTCCGTTGTATTAACAATGTAGGTAAAATGACATTTTGCCGACAATTTTAATACAGTGGAGGTAAACTGACATTTCGCCTACAATGGCAAAAAACAGTGGGTAATTTGATGTTTTGCACTATATGTTTTTTAGTTTGCCTCCTTTGAATTCTGAGAATATATAGTTCACTATAGTTTACTATAGTTACCTTTTCAGTTCATTTATCATCGACATTTTTCCGTTTTCTGTATACATTTTTATTTTAACTTTTCTGTATAACATTTTCGCTCCAAACTACTCATATGATACCCCTCTTGGTCCCGTCTTCATGAAAATGTGAGTATTGATAGAAATTGATTCGCGCGCACGCATCTTTGTCGACCGTTCTTTTTCTTATTACCAATGGATACGGTTCAGTTTTGTACGTTTTAGTACATTTTAGCACGGTTTAGTACCATTTAGTACGCCGTTTAGTACGATGTACTGTCTCCTAGAATAGTTGGAAATCGTTGGAAAAGTTCCAGAACCATTTTTCTAGTTTTAGTACACTTTAGTACATTTTAGTACCGTGCGCTGCATAGCTATGATGAAGTACTAAAACTTTGCTCCAGTGACCACTATCTTATTTGCAACAGCTGTGGATTTATAGAGAAAGGTATTGAAAAAAAATGTGAAAGATGACACATAAAATGGTAAATTAGAAATTTGCAAATTTTTCCACTGAAATGAGATGTACTGGCTAGTAAGCTACCCTCAGCATACAAAAAATCGAAAAAAAATAATCATATTCCTAGAAGCACTGTAAAGCAAAATTTTCGGTTTGCCATTAATTTTTCATTAAATCAATACATATATTTTCAAGAAGGGGGACCTGGGGGGATACCATATATATGGTTGGAAAGGTATTGACGAGTACTATAATTTATCCCAAAGGAGTGATGCCCTATCGCTCATAGGTCGGGAGTAATGACCTTAGGTAGCCACGTGAGATTTTCATATTCTCCCCCCATAAACCCCGATTCGGAAGACCCGGGGAGAAGTACACCTATACTATACTGTTTTGGAAAGGTGGTAACATAAGCTTTTTAATGCAATATGAGCGGCCTTATTTTTCGAAAATTTAATAAAGTTACACCAAATTTTTTGTTTATATATATATATATATATATATTCATATTTTCATAATCCCTAGGAGCATATGACTTTGCATACTGGAGAGGCATATTTGTACCAATGCACATTTTGCTCTAAAACATTCAGATCTAGCGCGAATATGTACGCCCATCGGAAACGAAATCATCCACGAGAATATGAAGAGAAAATTTGTTTGGCCAAAATGCAGAAAACCTAATTTATCCTCTATCATTTAATTTAGAAGCAGGTGCTTTGTAGAAAGTGGAAACATCAATATAAAAAACTTCTTATTCTTATCTATTGCTTGGTTTGTTTTGATGATAAAAAATAGAATGTTTATTCGTGATTGACTTATTTTAATGACAGCATATTTTTTCTGTTCGATTAATTGAGAAGAAAATAACAATAAAATTGTATAAATTGTGTTTTTTGAGTTTCTTAAATCCGACTAAGCAATGTATTTCTTGACAAAACAGTTTAAAACGTATGTACGAATTTGATATGGACTCTCACTAATCGTCAGAGCTTGAGTCATCCGAATCCGAAAATTTTGAATAGCCAGTGTACGACGATGAGACGCTTGAATATTGATCATCGCTGCGCTTCTTTCCACTTTGTATGAACGGATAGTCTTCAAATGGAATTGGTGCTTCCAATCGAGCATTAGCAGGCAAATGTTTCCCGGGCACCAGTTTTACGCCAATTTTCTCACAAATGTGATCGGCACAGAGGAAGAACCAACGGCGTACATAGCTTAAAGCACAATGCCGTGTTACATCCTCATTTTCGTGGAAATCACATGAGATATTGGGGGTGGAATCGTATCTATCCTGTTCGATGAAAGTGTTGGTGACTGTGATTCGAATAGGCTCGGTAGCGAGTTCAACGTTGTTCTTAAGTTCATTGAACAGCAGCTCGAAGTCAAAGACATCGAAAGTGGTGTGCCATTGTTTTTCGGCCACCTCAGACAACTGGTCGAGGATGGATTCAATAACTTCATTGTCTTCTTTGCGAGTGAAAACGTATGGACGTCTACTATCACTTTTGTCAAATGTTTGGCCGGGCTCTGAGTCCAACACACCGAGAATGGCCGAATAGATCTTTTCGTAGTCTTTCTCGCCGAGCGCATTTGGCGGCGGTGGTAATCGGTGTACCTTTTCGGAACGATCTTTTGCTTCGAAAGCGTAACCAATGGTAACCGTTTCTGTAGATGGATTTAAAAGCAACATAAATATGGTTATACTTTGAAGTTAGTTATTTTAATGTAAAATACCTGGGTTGACAAACGTGTGATAAAATTTCAAAATTGCGTCTTCAAAAGAGAACTTCGCGATGGCAATCTCAGCAGGTGAATACATACCGGAATTGGTCTTGTAGAAATAATTGGCCATTATAAAGACGAATGGCCGACTTTTGATATCTGGAAAAAACAGATTGTTTCTTCTGAAATTTCATCTCAGCTTGCATTTATAAATTTACAACACTGCCGTTTCTTGACAGTTCCCATATAAAATAGCTCCAAAGCGCCAACTGGTGCTAGCAAGTGAACTACAAGCACTTCATATGTAATTTTCACTCTTCTGTTGACTAATTTGACATTGATTTTGACATTTTGTTCGTAGTATACTTGCTAACACCAGTTGGCGACAACGATGAGAAGGCACAGCGTTGTAAATTTATTTATAATTTTCAGCAATTGGCTATATGACGTTTCAAAGGAATGTCATGCAAATTGCGTAATGCCCATTTTGTCAGCGCCAGCTAAATAACTAATTGATTTTCACAAATTTTTGGACATGAAGAAAAAAAATTACCGTTCTCTAAAAAGGCGTTTTTGACGATGTGTTTGACTTTTCTTTCCATAAATCGCTTCTTTTCAGCCAATTCTCTTTGCTCTCGCTCGACTTGTTCCAGTGGAACACCTTGCGATGTGTATTTGGGTGGCTGCATCACAGTTCGGGCTGGCATTCTTTTTGCCAATAGCTTGTATCTTTCTTTTTCTGCAGCGGTGAGTCTCTGAAAGGATCACGAATTTATTGAAATTGTCAACTTAGGTGTGCGTCACCATAAAAGATTTACTTACTTCGAAATGGGGCTTCGTAACGGTCGACCATTCTTCCTATGAGGAAGAAAATGAAATGTACATAGGGTGTTCAGGTTTGGGGAGTCAAATAAGAATATATGATTTCTACGCAGATTTCGGCCCAAAAAATCGGAATCAAACAATAAATCGTCCTTCATTGCTAATAAATTTGGAATTTCACCGAAATATAACCGTTTTTATGTGTTAGTACTAATTGACTCTTTGTAGCTCAAATTGTCTAATGTTCTAAAAATTAGCAATGTGAACCGATCCGTATGGCATTTGACATTCACTTCAGCAGTTTTCGAAATGTCACAGACGCCGCATCATTCATTCCGAGAAAACATACAGCGTTGTGAACACGAAGTCAACAAATTGAAACTCTTACATTTTATCTTACAATTTAAACTGGAAATTTACATTGCAATTTAATTTATCTACGATTTTGCTGGTATTTCATTTCGTTTTATTTTCGATTTACGTGCGTTTTGTATCGATTTGATCCGGAGTTCACATTGAATTCAAGTCGCCAAAGTGTAAGTAAACTTGATCATTTCAATCTCTTCTTCTTATTGTGGAATTCATTTTAAAAACGTTTTATAAGCATTTATAACGTGAAATATATTGAACATATCAACAGTAATATTAGATTCCATGTACAAAAGTAATGAATTTCACAATAATTCTGCAGTACATAGTTCTGTTACATGTGATGGTGAAATACGTGTGATGGTGAAATTCATTTTATGCAATGAATTGAGTCCATTGTTCGGAGAAGAGAAACAGTTAATCGATTACTGTTCGAACTCAAATTGAATCAATGCCATTGTTATCAAACCGAAGTCATTTTTGTGTGTCTCATTCTGTTGTCATTTTCAAACTAAATTGAATTTAAGTTTCAATATTATTCGTTTTCAAACTAAATCGAATGTGTGTTTTTTTTCTTTCAGTAGGACAATGGCGAATCGTTTCAAGCCATCAATACCAGCGGAGGGAGAGACGAAAGATGAAATTACGACGATCAAATGTGCGCTAAAGACAATCATTCGCCCACAATACCAGCAAGCATTGATGAGCAAAATAACGGATCTGAGTTTGCAAGCCACTTCCATTTGTGTTTTGAGCTCATTGCTGTTCTTGTTTGAGGTGCAAAAGGCGTTCGAATATAGGCGTCGAGAACAATAATTTCGCATTGTTTGGTGGAAGTGGAGAAGATAAGATCAAACTCTGCTTTGAACAAGTGCTATGGCACAACAATCAGCCACCAAAACCGAAGTCAAGGTATAAACCAAG